TCGAATCGGCGGAAATCGGCAGGCTAGTAGGTCTCCGTTGAGAAATCGGAGCCCAAATCGGAATCCAAAGTCGAATCGAATCGGAATCGGAAACCATCGAAATCGAGTCGAATCGAATCGTAAGAATCGAAACGAGCCCTTGCAGGCGCGCGCTGACACGACCCTCGCAGAGCCGCTCTATGCTCGCAGATGGCTCGGGCCCGGGCACTGGCGGTCGCCTCCCAGAGTGTTAGACTTCTGTCGGGCGTGTCCCCCTGCAGGGATATTTTCGACGAACAATAAAAAATACACCAAACATACCCCCAAAAAGGTTTGAAATATCAAAAAAATATTCCCATACTATTTTTGGAGCATGTTTTCATTATTTTGGGGGTATGTTTCATTTTTCGTCGAAAATCCCCCTGTAGGGGGACAGGCCCTACTTAATGTTAGACGCCTCCTAGATGGGGTCGTAGGATGGCGCCGCATCGCCAATGCATCGGCGATACATCACAGGTGCATCGGCAACGCATCGGCGACGTCGGCGACGCATCGGCGACGTCCGCGTGGAGAACATCGGGCTCCGCATCGAGCCGCATCGCCGATGCATCGGCAATGCGGCGCGATCCTCCGACCCCATCTACTCTGACCCAATCTAGGAGGCCTAGAATTGGGGGATCTGAATTACATCATGATGCAGACATGTGCTTTTGTTCGGACGTTTGCGAGTCGGCACTGGAACGCACTCGGTGATCTTGGAAGCGTAAGCCAGCGACATCAAGCTGAATCTAATCGGAAGAGTCGAGGCGAGCCTTGCACTTCCCCCCCTAAGACGAAGCCGCGACGAGGATACATTCGGGTGAGGACTTAAATCGAGAATATTAAGATCCCGCGGCTCTGGAAGATGTGTCGGGCGCCGCGGCCTTCTCAGAGCGTTCCGAAACGCTCTGAGAGCGTTTCAGAACGCTCAGGAACGGACTTATCCTCCTTCTAGTCCCGTCCAACCCTCTCCCTCCTACCCCCCCATCCTACTTCTCCCCTCCCCCCCTTCTCCCCCTCATGTGCAATCACGCGGTTTTTTTTCTCCCCCTCCTCCTCCTCCTCCTCCTCATCATCACCATCACCATCACCATCACCATCACCATCACCATCACCATCACCATCACCATCACCATCACCATCACCCATCATCATCATCATCATCATCTCATCATCATCATCATCATCATCATCATCATCATCATCATCATCATCATCATCATCATCATCATCATCATCCTCATCCTCATCCTCCTCATCCTCATCTCATCCTCATCCTCATCCTCATCCTCATCCTCATCCTCATCCTCATCCTCATCCTCATCCTCTCATCCTCCTCATCCTCTTCTCATCTCTTCTCCTCCTCCTCCTCCTCCTCCTCCTCTCCTCCTCCTCCTCCTCCTCCTCCTCCTCCTCCTCCTCCTCCTCCTCCTCCTCCTCCTCCTCCTCCTCCTCCTCCCCCCATGAGAGCCGCATTTTTCGAACGGCGGGCTCTGGGCCGTTCTCGGCCTCATGGTGGGCCCACGCGGGGCCTCGCGGCCGTCAGCCCACCGCTTGCTTCTCGGGACGCAGACTTACACCAGAGAGAAAACTTATAATTGATGGATGGTTTTCGCTGCAGGAGATCGACCGGGAATCTGGGAGCCTGGGAACCCAGAACCCACCGAAATCGGCCTGGAACCATCGGGAGCGGCCAAGAGGGGGGGGGGGGGGGGCAAGAGGGGGGGGAGGGGGGCAAATCATGACCGGCGGCATGAGCGCGGCCCAGCGGGGGGGCCAGGGACGCAATGAAATAAGAAGAGGCACCATGAAATCTGGGAACTATCGTGGCCCCCGCCATGATATCCCCCCCCCCTAGTCATCACCCCCCTCCTTGCCGCCCCCGAAACCAATAACCGGGAACCCCGGAACCCGGAACCGGGAACCCGGGAACCCAGCCTGCTATACCAAAGTCGGCGGGAAGCTTTCGCCGAATCTTTCAGCTTCCGCTCGGACCCCGTCGGTGCAAGCACTGAGTGGGGAAAACTAGCTCGCGAGGGAAGTTAGCCCGGGCCTCTGGGGCCCTCGCCTGGAAAAAAAAGGAAGCGGCCCGGTGTCTGGGCGAGCCCTGTCCTCCCTCCCCCCCCCCACCGCTTCGGAGGCAACTACTGGGAGGTCTTCGTCGGAAAAAATAAAGAGGATCAAGCCCCATTGGGGGGCTACTACGCCAGATTAGGCCGCGGATTGAGAGGATTGGGCCAGATGAAGCGGGATTCTGCGGGATTAAGCGGGAACAAGCCGGATTAAGCTGGATTTCTCGGGATCGGCCAAGAGGTGGGTGCCCAAGAGGGGGGGGTGCAAATCATGACCGGCGGCATGTGTGCGGCCCAGCGGGGAGGCCAGGGACGCAATGAAATGAGAAGAGGCGCCATGAAATCTGAGGAAAAATCATGGCCCGCGACATGAATTCCGCCCCCCCCACCCCCCACCCCTAGTCATCCCCCCCTCTTTGCCGCCCCCGAATTTCGGACCAGGGCAAAATCAGAATCTAACCTGCCAGGAGTTGCATCCGAACCACGGGCACGCCCGCTCTCTTGGAGGGGCCCTGGGACACACAAATAAACACACACACACAGATAAACCGATTCCCCAGGTGTTCCCACATCTTCTGTGTTTTTGTCCTCCCCCCACACTTCCTATAGTTTCCCATAATTCTCTGGGGAATGGACGATGAATTGTGCCTGTGTGTTTTTCCCCGCCCGATCTCTGGCTCGCGCGGGACATGGCCATCGACCTCTGCAGGGGGCCCCACGCCTCGAGCCACACCATATGGGAGCGGCCGGGTGCCTGGGCGAGCCTCCCCCACCACACACTTCTGATGTTCCAGCCTACTTCAGCCTTGATCACCAGAGCGAATTTCGAGCACCAAGAAAACACCCCCAAACTTTAAGGTTTTCACGTGTCGGGCCCTGGGAGACACTCTTGCGACACTGTTTCGACACTCTTTCGACACTTTTCTGGGTGCTCGACGTACGATGGGAGCAACATAACCCCACACACCGGCCCGCCCGTTCTTTCCCCCACCCGAGTGCCACTGGCGCTGCCCCGGGCCTCCTCCCCTGAGGCGACGCAAGGACGAGGACAACAGCGATTGAGGAGGATGAATCGAACATCTCCGAGGCCCGGCGGCTCCGGAAGATGTCTCGCCCCAGCCCCGTCGCATCCTCCCCCCGAAGGGGGAGGGGGGGAGGCTTCTGAGAAAGACGCTGCTCCTTACAGGGCGCGGACCTTACCTCTACAGATATGGGCCCGCGCCTTTTCAGAGGCGGCCTCACTCCCTTCCCCTACCCCCCATCTGCGCGTGGCCGGCCTCTCGCGCGGGGTGGCCAAGGAGGGGGGGCGTCCGAGCCTGGGGCATGTGCGCGGGCGAGGGGGGAACAACGGAACCCGTTGGAAGAGGAAGGAGGGGGTAATGAGGTCGGGGAAGATAGCATTCACAATAGCTCTCCGAGAGCTCAGCAGGATTGATATCAGAAACCGGCACCGCAGGGTAGCCCCGGAGCTCCCTCCAGCTTCCAGCAGAGCACTTCGCAGCGCCCCCTGTGGGGTTGTAATGTGTCCCGGGAGGCCCTTGTTCGCGCCACGCTCGCTTGTCTTTTCTGCTCATGTGCTTGCCAGGAGGCTTCGCAACTCAGCTTCCCCAAACGCGTGCCCGGATGCTGTCAAAGGCTTCCGGAGGAGCTTCTGGAGATCCAGAAGTTCCCTCCCGAAGCTCCCTCCGAAAAAGCTTCCAGGGCTCCATCGGGAGGCCTTCCTGGCGCCTCGCTGCCCGGGGTTGGGATTCCACACGTGCCCCCCGCCGGGATCTCCCTCCCCCGCCTCTACCTCCTCCTCCTCCTCCTCCTCCTCCTCCTCCTCCTCTCCTCCTCCTCTCCTCCTCCTCCTCCTCCTCCTCCTCCTCCTCCTCCTCCTCCTCCTCCTCCTCATCCCTCCTGCCCCTGCCCCTGCTCCTGCTTCTGCTCCTCCTTCTCCTTCTCCTCCTCCTTCCCTCCTGCTCCTGCTCCTGCTCCTGCTCCTGCTCCTGCTCCGCTCCTGCTCCTCCTCGCCTCCTCCTCCTCCTCTCTCTCCTCCTTCTCCTCTCCTCCTCCTCCTCCTCCTCCTCCTCCTCCCCCTCCTCCTCCTCCTCCTTCTCCTCCTGAGGCGCGGAACGGTGCAGCACCAGACGCGCCACGGTCCGCCCGCAGCTCGTGAGGCCAGACGGCGACATTGGAGGCGACGCAGGCCAGGGGCGGCGCGAGGCCTCCGCTGGGGTCGGCCCGAGCCAGACGGACATGGCCCCAGAGACGCCACGAGCATGTGATGAGCAACCGCCCTGCAAGCGTAGACTGTATCCCACCAGCCTGGGCTGGGAGACAATCGCAACAACAAGCCACGTCTGGGCGACAAGCCAGGTGCGTCTTCATTCCAGCGGGGGGGACCCTCGGCAGCGAGGCGGACTCGACAACCGCGGCAACACCTCCTGACATGGATGTGCTGCGATTGAGCCGTGAGTCTGATGAAAGAGGGGGGACGCAGAGACGAAGGCGGCCGCCACGAAGACACATAAGCCGACGGCAGCAGTGCAAAGACGCCTGCGCATTGGCCACCCGCTCGTCCGCCGTCTCGATTGCCAGCGCCGCCTTGTTCTCCGCCGCCTCCACCCTGGACAGGAGGAGGAGGAGGAGAAGAAGGAGGAGGAGGAGGAGATGGAGGAGATGGAGGAGGAGGAGGAGGAGGGGGAGGAGGGGAGGGGGAGGAGGGGGAGGAGGAGAAGGAGGAGGAGGAGGAGGAGGAGGAGGAGGAGAAGGAAGGGGAGGGGGAGGAGGAGGGGAAGGAGGAGGAGGAGGAGGAGGAGGGGGAGG